GCAAGTTTTTTGGGCAGTGTAGAGTAGTGCTTGTTGTTTGTCATTTCTCCGATCCCAAATGCAGACATGGTTTTATGTTTACGCGGCGAGATGCAACGCAGTGCGTTAAAAGACAGTATAAGTCATTATAATCAGTAATTATGTCCCCACTGGATGCAACAAATGCCTCGTTTATAATGGGTTTTAATGTTTTTGTCTCGATATGGGACAATATTTTGTCCCATATTGTGATGCCTGACAGGGCATCACAATATGGTAAGGGGCGTAACATTTCCGTCACACGCTTGAGGTATTCAGCCAATCACAATGCACTGGATAGCTGGCCAATCAGAGCACACCTCGCTTTTCAGACCGATGAGCTTTGTAAAAATCGACGCGTTTCAGAAAGGCGGGGCATAGAGGAGAAACAATAATGTACAGTATGTGGAAAATAATGTGTTTTTTTAACCTTAAACCGCATAAACACATTTCATTACACCAAATACACAAAATAATGTTCTTTTTAGCAGCATCATATGACCCCTTTAAAATAGCTCATGAAGGCCAATCGAGCTTTTCAGACACCCATTATTTAAAAAAAAAAAAGCAGTCATCACTCAATTAAGAAACTTTTAGATTGGAACAAATTGACCTCTATAGCTTTTCAATCAACGGGCGACGCAGGTACTTGGGCAGTCAATATTAATGTGTTATTGACAAGGAGGACAGCACTGGCCCTAGAGGGAGATCAATACTCCCCGAGATCTCGAGTGTGAGCGTGGGAGAGCGTTTGGTTGTTTAGAGCAGTGTGGGAAATTTGTCTAGACTCAAAGCATGGCATAAATAACAGAGCAATGTCATAACAAATAGCTCTAAGAGCTGAGATATATCTGGCATTTTCGAATAGAAAGGAAACAACACTACACGGTTTAATGCAGAGGATAATGGACCACAAACAAATTCATCATTTGCTGTTTTTCCCAGAAAGATCTGAGCCTACTTGGATCATGCTTTGGCAAAGTAACTTCAAAACCGTTCCTCAACCTTGCTGCCTTTCATTCCCTTCCTTTTTAATGACCATCCACACCGATGTTAGCACGGTTGGGCCGAATGAAAGAGAAGTTTATGGAGATCTGCTGAGATTTATGAGCTGATAATGACCTGCCATGTGACGTCTAGGGCTGACCATGATTGGGTGAGCAGCCACAGGAAGTCTAGCACACTGTAAAAACCTTCTGAGTGGGACCGGCTCTGGCTGCAAGATGAGTCCATCTCATAGCAGCAAAAAGACCCATTTAACCGGGGCAATATTGTGCTTCGCATGACATGGAGTGTTTGCCCAGTTCAGCACAGCAGCTTTGGAACAGACAGGCAACATAAATGTTTTCCAGCTCTGTCAAAAAGCACCAAAACTGTCCGTCTTTGTTTTCAGTAGTGTAGATACTATAGTCATTTTAAAACTTCACTATGATGATTTCTGGAGGAGCTAATGCTCCAAAAGAGAATAAAAGCTATGCTAAAGGAGTTTACAAACCAAAATTCCCATTCAGTTTTCACATCTATGCTAACCGCACTAGCCATCTAGCAATTTACTATTTCCTATTCAATGTTCAATGACATGCTCAGTGCACTTAACAGGGTGAACAAAGAACCATGTAATTGTCTTATGCAAGACCCTGTAGGGAATCGGTCTGAAATAAAAAACAGGGCTTGGTGCAAATTTAAGGCTTTCCAGACTCCCGTTCCCCAAGCTATCTGGAGAAACACCCCGCAACAGATGCTAATAGTGAGAGCAGGGCAGCCGATAAAGAATTCAACCCCCCCAAATCTAGAGTCCTGTCAAAGAAAAAAAACTCACAGGACTGCAAAGAGAATTCTGGATCTTGGCAAAACAGTCCAACATATTTAAAGCATGTGATAAAAACATCAAAAAAAAAATTTTCATAGAAAAATGTACCAGACGGTGTAATATTTCACACACTTTTATTAAAAAAAAAATACAGTAATACTAATAGTAATGCTATAATAATATATTCATATTTATAATATAAATATATTTATTTATCATTCAGTCATCACCATGTTTTTTTTTCTTTTAGCGTAGAATATACGAAATAGCAACTAATTAACTCGATGGCTATGTGATATCTGAAAATTTGTTTAGAAGTTCATTTTTATTCATTAACTATAATTAGGATGCATACATCTGTGGGCACAAAATAAAGGTCGCCAAAGTATATGTCACATCACACATATTAGTTAAGCATTTAATGAAGAATATGAGCACCTCCCTTGTGACTTAATTAAATGAAACCCTCAGAGACACCTGTGTAGGGACAATATCTGTTCAATAAGCTAATTAGCTGCAAATTAAACAGCTATTTGCCGTATAAGAGACAATAAGATTTAAGATGCCACAAAAAAAGCATTAAGTATCTATTTGTTCACTCTCTATAAAAGAAAAGCATTTGACTTGGGGTTAAGCTATATATAACGGCTATCATACTTTTTAAAAGAAGATGCAAAGATTTATTCTACTAATGAGCAGGAACGATATAAATGCAGGCTTTGAGTCTAACATTACTCTGTAAATTTAAGATAATCGCACTGGATGTGTATGTCATTTTGTCTTTACGAATGCAACTGCTGCCTGTGCTTATGGAAATTAAAACAAGTACCATGAGACAATTTATAAATATGCTGTCATTATAGTTTACCCACACTCTAATCATGTAGCTACAGCAGTATGGGCAGCAGCTAAAATGAACTTTGTCAAAAAGTCTTCTGGTATAAAATAGCAAAAAACTGCTTCTGACAGGTCTGCTTTGTGGAGCTCAAATGACAGCAATGTAATGACAGCTAACCACAAAACAACATTTAAAACAAGTCCTCCTTTACCTCATTTTGCTGCATATAAACTACAGCCTCAAGAACAATTATCATTAAGTGGGCTACTCTCTCATGTTCAAAAGATAAGCCAGTCATTTATCCATAGCATCACGCCAGAGTGCCGTCATTTGGTGCAATCTGCACTACCCCCCCGGAGACACTCCTTCTGTATTTCATATATCAGAGAAAATTGAATTAAGGATGTGTGTGCCGGCAGTGTGCTGTCAGGAGGAGTAGCACTTGTTTTCACTAGCCTCGTCAGCCTGCGAGAGCACAATGTGCAGCTTCGGTCTAATGCAATCAAGCTCCTGCAAGTCAAAACAAAGCAGATGCGGCTCTGAAAAAGACTTGCAGAGCACCAAGGAAGTGGATGAGGATGGTGGCAGAGAGGAGAAAAAACAGATATGGCATCTCTGAAAGTAAATGCAGCAGGGTCTTTAGCAAGCCTGCTCGGCGTTACCCATAATGCACTTCTTGCACTTCTTCACTGCACTTGTGGTGAGCTGGTAAACAGCCGGAAGTCTAAAAGAGGTTGGGTGTAAGAAAAAGTCTTTTCCAATGCCTTTTGATTTTAAGTTTCAACATAAAGGACTACAAATGTAATTATATAAATGTTTAAAATGTAATAAAAAAGTACAAATAAATAAATAAAAAACACTTAAAAAAACAAAACAAACAAATTAAACATTTAGAGAGAGAGAACTGGCGACCTAATGTATAACTGAATTTCTATATTTATGTAAAAATTATACATTTATGTAAAAGTTATGTAAAAATGATAAATAACTCATGCTCATTTTTTGACTGATACATGGAAATTCCCTAAAGTGCAAGAAAAAGTCTCCTTCAATGCTTTTTATTTTAATTTCCAACATAAAGGAATAAAAATGTAATTAGAAAAATGATTAAAATGTAACAAAAAGGAAATAAATAAAGAGTAACATATTTAAAGATAGTAGCAATTAATAAATAAATATAACACTTTCAATAAATTAATTAATAAACAAACGATATGCATTAAATAAATTAATCCATAAATGTAGAGAGAGAGAGAGAGAGAGAGAACCGGCAACCCAATCTATAACAGAACTTCTATATTTACATATTACAAGTTCTAATGTGTAAAAATTACAATCAAATCATGAGAAATATTTGACTGATACATGGGGATTCATATTTGGTGAGATAATTGTGTGAATGCAAGTCCAGTCAACTATAATTATGTTCGCTTGAACAATTGGACATTCATAACAAGAGATTTGCACAACTCAGGTAATTATGTTTGCTGTCAGTTCTCCGCACTACCTCACTAGCCCACTCGAAAAGATCAGTTAGAGACACTTCATCTAATTTCCTGTCAAAGCTGCACAAAAGAAGTGGAATAACGCGGTATCGCAGCAGAGAGTTGGTGCGGGTCCAGCGTATGAGGGCTTCGCATTAGCACGCACCAATTAATAGCTGCGAGCGAGACGGCTTCCCTTTTCTATCAGCCACCTGTCTGTCAAAAAGGAAATAATCATTAGATTCTAATAAATCTGTCCGCCATGTCAATGTAGCTGCAATGCAAAAATGTGCAAGTCTTAGCCCCGGGGTGCCCAGAGACCTGTTTTTCGTTATTCGCTGTACAGTTGAATGCACACACTATTGGTGGAATAACTTCAGGTGTGTATTGTAGGTGGGGTTGAGAGGGGAATTATGGTACATATCAAGCGGGATATTTCAGCAGTTCTCCACAATGCTGCCAATCAAGACAGCGCTGCAGGGCATTCTCAGCAGTATGACTGACAGCTGTTTCCTGCCGGACAGGTCACGTGAGCACGGCTCACGGAACGGCGGTGCATGGTTTGCGTGTCTGGGACTCTGGGAGTTGTGTGAGAATGGCAGGTGAGAATTTGAGGTTGTGTTCAGAAGAACTGGCAGCCCAACTTATATGTTTTCCAAGACATGTTTGTAATGCGAGACGGCTATATTTGCTTTTTGGGTTTATTGAGGACATATACACATAGTAAAGGCTGACTATTTGTTTTGCCTTCAATAAACCCAAATTTGTGTGTACGTACATTAGTGTACAAAATTGAGATTTTTGCGAGAATTTTGCGAATTTTGAAAGTTAAATTGGGAATGCCTTTTAAATTCCAATTTAATTCTTTAAATTTTATTTAAATTTCAATTGATGCAGCAAACAGGATGCAGAATTTGAATTTAAATGTAAGGAAGTGGAATTAAATTTAGAAATGTATATTATAAGAAATGTATACAGTATATCTTTTTTTTACAAAAAACAAACACAAATTGGATTGATAAAGCCTTGTTTGAAGCTTGACGTGAAGATTGTTAGACAGAACATTAGACAAAATGACCGACAAACAGAACGATGTATAAAGCCATGTTTGAACCTTGAAGTACAGTGCCTTGCAAAAGTATTCATACCCCCTCAATTTTTTTTTTTTTTTTTTCATTGCATCATATAATAATTGCTGTTAATTAATTATTACGTTAATTATTACGTTAATTACGTATTAATAATTAATTGTTAGTTAATTATTATTATCTGTTTTATTACGTCTTAAATTGATTTTTCCGTACTGCTGGTTCGTCTGGTCAGAGGAGAACTGGCCCCCCGACTGAGCCTGGTTTCTCCCAAGGTTTTTTCTCCAATCTGTCACCGATGGAGTTTTGGTTCCTTGCCGCTGTCGCCTCTGGCTTGCTTAGTTGGGGACACTTAATTTCCAGCAATATCGTCGACTTGATTGCACAGACACTAATTAAACTGAACTGAGCTGGATGATGACATCACTGAATTCAAAGATGAACTGCCTTTAACTGAAATTTGAGTGTTTACTATTGTCATTTTGCCTTATTGACACAATATTTTCCTAATTAATGCTGTTCAGTTGCTTTGACACAATCTGTATTGTTAAAAGCGCTATATAAATAAAGGTGACTTGACTTGACACGCTTTCAGTCTCTGTCTCATGTAAATCTCACGCCATGCTTGTGTTATGACAAACACTAAGTTAAGTCATATAAATATATTTTTATGAATTTATATCGTCTGCAGAAAGCGTAGGACCATAAAATGTTCATCCAATCAAATTGTTCGGCCCGAACATTACGATAGGCTGTCCAGCCTGCCTGTCAAATATGTATTTGCATACCTCTGCGCACCCTGTTTGCGCAGACATGACGTCATCAGCGCGTTCCAGCGAGAATGAAAATGCGCTGTTATTGTAATATTATGCGCTTTGTACTGTAATGTTTTCTCACTGGTGAATGAGGCATGAGGTAATCTGAAAGTGTTGCATTCATTTCTCCAACAGTATGGTCTCTCATCGTATCACAAGTTAGTCTCTGGTCTGTCGGAGCACGTTTGTGTGTTTTGAGGGAGGCGTGGCTTTGCAGAGGGATTATGCAGCGAGGGTGGAAAGAATAAAATGTAGCATCCCATTGGGTGACAATCATATAAACATTCATCGCGCTAGATAGAGTCAGTTTGCTGACAATTCTGGAATTTCGGTCAAATACATGCTTATTTCACTGTTTATAACATATAGAATATGCTTCAAATGATCGTTCATATACAGTATGTGACCCTGGACCACAAAACCAGTCATTGTGAAATTGAGATTTATACATCTTCTGAAAGCTCTACATTGATGTATGGTTTGTTAGGATAGGACAATATTTGGCTGAGATACAACTATTTTAAAATCTGGAATCTGAGGGTGCAAAAAAATCCATTTGGGGTGTGTGAAACAGCCCGGTTTAAATACTCAGGACACCATCAAACTTGGCTTTTTGTGTCTAGCTTTTAGCTTTTCGCTTTTAGTCATGCTTTTTAGTTATAGGCTTTTTGTGTTTAGCTTTTAGCTTTTCGCTTTTAGTCATGCTTTTCAGTCATCACTTCTTAGCGCTTTTTGAGCGTGCTCTGGCTTACACGCCAGCTCCTCCAAAACCATGAGGAGAAACGCCACCTAGTCTCGTCACACTTTACTTCTATTTCTTTACTTAAGTTTCTTTTCTTTTCCGTTGAGAGTTTCGTGTTCTGAGTTAAGTTGCCTAACGCCGTGTCTCCGAGTCCGACCTCAAGTGCCGTCTAAAACTTCAACCAGCTCACAACTCCGCGTCGTCAGCCAACGCCCAACCACTG